CACAGTGAGAGCCAAAAGATGGAGTGAGTGAGAAGAAAAAATCTTAAGATCGAAAGCAGGTATTTCAGAGAATACAGCAGAAGGAACAAGTAGATTTGGAGTGGAACATTTGAGGTACAGGGTTGAGGGGAATGAGAATAAGGGAGCAGGCTGTGGAGCATGGGGAATGGGATTTGTACATTGGTACGTTGGTGTTCAGAGCCCTTGGGATATGGAGAGTATAGGGGATTGGGAGTATGCCAACCATTGAGGAACAGAGTCCATGCAAAAATATTGATGATTGGAGAGAGATTCATTTAGGGAAGTAGATGATTATACTGTTCGAGGCTTAATCAGAATTGGTATGGTTTAATCTCTTGGCAGATGGTTATGTATTCCATGGGTCCCATGAGGCCCACAGGATCTTACAGTAGGAAGGGGCAGGTTAAGGCATATCTTGAGGGTGTATGGACAGGAGGTGGGAGCTTGTACTTTGAGGTGGGTCTTGTTTGATACTTGCCTCTAGACTACTGGAGAAGGCTCTGGGGTGAAGACAGAGGCCAGGGACTCTGACCTGGATACTTTGCTGCCGCAGGGATTCCTGGCAATGCCCTGGGGCAAAGAGGCCAGAAGACAGTGAGTCATCTAGTTAAAGATTATGGTTAAATCCTTAGAAATTAGTGAAGTTAACAAGAGTGTAGAGGAAAAAGTAGAGAGCCTAAGAACAGAACCTTGGGGAACATCCATAACCTAGAGTCAGAATAGAGTGATCAGAGACACTTAGTCACTAAGGTCCTAAAAGAAGTAGTCAGACAGGTAGGAAAAATATCTGGAAGAGGAGTGTCATGAAAACCCAGAGAATTGAGAGTATCCAGGAGGAAATGGTGGTTAACAGTGCAAATATAGCAGATAGATTGAGAAGAATGAGGACTGATAAAAGTCCATCAGATTTGACAGTTGAGGGATCACTGATAACCTTGGCTAGAGTAGTCACCGTTTAGTGATGAAATAGAAGGCCAGTTTGTAAAGTGTTTAGTGAGAAGAAAGTAGAGGTAGCTTTTTGAGGGGTGGGGAGGGGAAGAAGTTTGTCCAAGTATGGGAGGGGAGATACAGAAAAACAGCTTGAAGGGAAAGTCGTATCTAGTGCAGGTTTTTTAAGAATTGGAGAGAATTAGACGTGTTTGAAGGAAATGGGGAAGGAATTACTTGATTGGGAGAGGTGAGAGAGAAAGAGAGAATGATTGAGAATGCAGTTTGTTATAGAAGACAGGAGGGGATGACATCATGTACACACGTAGAGAAGTTGACCTTGGCCAGAAGAGCTACCTGTTTGTCAAGACTCTAGAGTGGGGAATACTATCAAGTTGTTTACAGGTGAAAAATAGGAAGCTCATGTCAAATGGCTTCAACTTTCTTTGTGAAGTAATAGGCAAAGTCTTTAGCTGAGAGGGAGAGAGAAAAGTAGTGGCGAAGGTTTGAAAAAAGAAAATTTGCTATAGCTTCTGTGGGAAGTGAAATACAGAATCAATCAGGGAGGAATATAAGGACTGCCTTGCTGAAGTGAGGGCCAAATTGAAGTTGGATACTGTGAATTGACGCAGTCAGTACAGTTCTGAGACTTCTCTACAACTATGTTTAACAGCTCATGCATAGGAGCAGATGGAGGGAGTGAAAAGAAGTTTAAGATTGAAAACAAGTAGGAATAACCCAGGGCTGAAGTTTGGCAGGATAAGAGAAGGTAAAAGATTCAAAAGCAGAGGGTAGTGTAGAGTTGAGATGGTTATTAGGTTGAGATTGGAGAGGAAAGAAAGTGAAGACTTGAGAAAGTACTGAGGGGTGAAGGGATTGGAGGTCTCTATGAGACTGAAGAACAGGTTTAAGAGGGAGTGGTCAATCAAGGCATGGTTTGTGGTGAGTTTCTAATTAGGGAAGCAGAACACCTGTGGATAAAGGCAAACTCTAGTAGGTGATCATCCTTATGTGTGGCAAAGGTAGAGTGAAAGAATGGATTTTGGACTAAGAAATTAGGAAATTAGTAATTGAGAGATTGTGTGGATATTAAAGTCCCCTAATCAAAAGGCAAGAGTTGGGGAGGAGAGGAATATAGTGAGGCAGGTACTAGTTTCCTACCAGATATATCTGCAGTTAGGTACAGGAGAGGTAGACGAGACTCAAATCATTCAGATTGATTTGCCTTTATTAAAAGCTATATGTCAGTAGAGGAAGTTGAAACTATTTGCAAAAATGGAATTTGTGGACAAATTGTTTTTCTGTTATCTATACTGTTTCTCTACCTCCACTTCTTTTGACTGGATTATTTAGTATTGGCTGCATATTTATAGATATTTTTAAGCCTGTCAGATTTTAAATGGTAGCTATTGTTTCCTTTAAATGTTCTTCCTCATTTATTCACAAACATTTAGTGTGTGCTGTATAGCAACCCAACACAGACTTCTTTCTACTTTTTAGATTTGGACAATTCTGAGTAAGCAAAAGATTGAGAGGTATTGGTTCTGTTTTTAACAATGGTATGGTGTTGTCTTTAGATGGGCGGACTTATTCTGTGGAATTACTTTATTATGTTTGAAAATTTGGATCAAGCACTTCATTCTTAAGTGTGATGTTGTTTGAGGTTTAAAAGAATCAAATCTACTGAAGACCGTAGTTCACTACTTTATGATTTCATGGTAGTATTTTCTCTAGTGCTGCAGATTACAACTTCTACCTGGCTTTTCACCTCATGTGATTCTCTTCATGTTCTCCTGTAAATCATCCATAACAGATCCACTCCAATTTTTTGAAGTAGTTTTTTGCACAGATATATAGTTATAAAACCTATACATATAAAATAAACCTAGACAACTTTAAAACTACCTTATAAAAACAACTTTTTTACAAAGCAAAATTTGGTATACACCTGGTATCAGAATACTAGATTATATTCAGTTTGATGTTCTTTTTGGTGCTATCATTAGATTTAATTTGAGTTACTATCATTTTAGAAAGAAACAATAAAAGTATAACAATTCTTTGGATAGCTATTAAATAGTAATACAGTCTTGAAATGGCTCAATTTTTAAAATAATTAAGAAACTATAGGGAGTTTTTCCTTTTATTTTTAAAATTCTCTGTTTAAAAAAGAGTAATGATTAGTAAAAATCAGTGCCAGTTCTGACATGGGGCTGGTCAACAAGGTGAGCCATATACAGTCTATACCAGTCAAAAATTCTACGTTTAAAAATATTTGTTTCAACAGAGATTACATCTAATAACTAAAACAAATTAGATAATTTGATGTTAGGAAATGTATTGAGACAGTTTTCTATATTTTTTTCATTCCAATTTCTTTAGTTAACGCCTGTTTTGGTTTCAAGAGGACGTTGCTAAAGTCAGGTACATACCTCAGTCTCACAGAACAGTTAACAGGTATCACCTTCTATACATGTACACTCTGCATATTTGCCTCTTTGATAACTCTAATTTTAAATATATAGAAAAGCATATGTAAGGTTACTACTGACCCCAAGCCTCTTGGGTGTCCAAGTGATATTATCTTTTGATGTTTTGTGAAAACAATACAACACTGGGGCTATTCACTTCTTATTCTTTTCTCTTGCTATGTAATTGGCCCACCACTTTCTCCACTCATCCATATCTTATACCCTTCTTCCAATAAAAGTCACGGTTGGTAGAATCAATGAATGAATGAATAAATGAGAAACATTTATTTATTTTTATTAAGCATTTGTGAAATGTGCCAAAGTGCTAAGGAGTGAGGTTTGTCTCTGCCCTCAAATAGTTTACAGTCTAATAAGGGGAGACAATACACTTGGGGAGTAGTGTTTTAGATTGGGAAGGTCACTGGGATGACATAAGAGAGTTGATTTGAAGTAATGATGGCAGTTATGGATTTGATCACAATTTCCAAGAAGAGATGGTGGGACTAGAGTGTTATATGCAAAGCCAGCAAGGTGGCAGATGGCAAGAAGAAGAGTGGGATAGAATTTGAAGCATGACTTGGGCTGGCCCTGGATATATTGGGCCATGGTATACCAGCATTGCATGTGACAAGAAGAGGGCGGGGGTGAAAATATAAGCTCCTTGAGGATAAGAATTTTCATTTTTGTCTGTATATTCTCAGAACCTACTGTGATATCTTGCACATGATAGATTAACAAGTGTTTTATTGAACTGAATTAGTAACATGATGCAGGTAACTTAAGCTGTTTTGCAGTGGTAGATAGTGCCATTTGAGATAAGCAGTGGAGTTATGATTTCACTGGCATAGGGAACTTCTTGATGAGAAGACTATCCACCAGTGCAGGTTGGAATCTTTGCCATTTAGTTGTTTAAGGCATTGAAGTTAAATGACAGCTTAGAGTCACACAGCCAATTTATGTAACAAGTGGGAATTGAACATAGCTCTTCATCTGTCACAGCATAATATCTTTATGTTGTTTGAACAGTGCTAGATATATAGGCTATATATGCTATGTTGAAATTTTTCTGTTTGAAATAATAACCAAGTCAAAATACAGCCCTGTAATCTGCTCAGGAGCTTAGTGATAGCTAATTGTGTGTGTGTGTGTGTGTGTGTGTGTGTGTGTGTGTGTGTGTGTGTGTACTTGGCCTTTAAAGTCAGAAACAAATGCTAATCTCTTGGCTCATCTGTGTAAGAAATATAGGATTTTCTCACAAAGCATGGCTCTAGGGTTAAAATGTATTTGCTGGGCCCATTTTGGACAAAGTATATGAACTAGAGAGAAATAGCTAGTTTTTCTTTGAATTAGGTAGCAGATACAACATATGTTTGGATGAGCATTTGGGGATATGAATTATACTCAGAAAGGGAAGAAAGGATTAGTGATGCATTATTTTGTTGATTTTATTAATATATTTAATTTACCCTACTTGATTCTATTAGTGCTTTGCTATGGTAGTTAGTAGATTTTCCAAGTATTTGATGACCTGAATTCTTTAGAAAAGTTAAAGTTATATGGCTAAAATGTTTCTTTCCACAGAAAATCAGCCTTCCGCACAAATTGACCAGACAGTATCCAGCTTATGAGTTGTATTTGTACGGAGAAGGGAGCTATGCCCAAGAAAACAAAAATCTCTTGTTGTCAGGGATTCCAGTTCTTTTTCTTCCTGGTAATGCTGGAAGTTATAAACAAGGTAAGACTGTTTTAAGTGAATTTTGAAAAATACTGTATTAAAGAATCTTTTTATTTCTACAATGTGGTTTAGTACTATGTTAGCTTTGGGAGTAGAGAAGCTATGAAATAAGTATATGGCATCCTGACTTCAAAAAGTTTACAATCTAGTTGATACAGTGTTTACTTTAGAATTAGGGAATAGGACTAAACGATGTAATTATGGAATAAAATATGTAGTACATAGATACTAATTTCTATGGAAGGTCAAAAAAGGGGAAAGATTATTGTGGGCTAGAGTTTTCAGGAAAGGCTTTATTCAGCACAATGGGACACAGAATGAGAAGGATTTGATAGGCGGTGAGGAGTAGGATGAGTATTGCAGGTAAAGCAGTTGCATATGCCCGTACCTGTTCCCTGAACATATTGCCGTCCAAAAGCAGAATGAGCTTCTTCTTGGAGTAGAGGCTTCTCCTTCAGTGGCAGTCTTGAACTAAAGGCTGAGTGACAACTTAATATGAATGTGTTATACAGGGGATTCTTATTTAAGTGCAGATTGAATTTGATAGACTCTGAGGTCCCTTCCAGCTGATTTTGAAAGGAAGAAATGGGCATATTGTGTTGGGGAGCATTAAACAGGATGAACTAACCAGAACGGAGGTTGATGTTGATAGGGAGATGAAGATGATGATGAGGTGATGATGGTGGTGGTGGTAGTGGTGGTGATAACTAATGTTTTTATACTGCTTTAAAGTTTGCAAAGTACTTTATAAATATTACCTCCTTTGATCCTCGCAACAACCCTGTGAAGTTGGATGGATAAAATAAGGGGTTATAGAAGGCTTGCAATACCAGGATGAGGAATATGAACTTTACCTAAGGGGCAGTGAGAAGATGTTATAGGTTCCTTAGAAAGATAAATTCTATGGTGGAGAGGCTGTGGTTAAAGCCTCTCAAGCTTGGGTAGGACATTCCAGAACTAATATTTCATTGTGAGAGAGAAAGAGAATCCAGGGACATCTCTGTTTTACTATGTGTCGTTGGACTACTGCATTGGGCACTTTAAGGATGAGGAATTTATATATCACTTAATCAGTTTCTATACTAGTATAGGACTATTGGAGTGATCAGCTCACTTTTCCCTCTGAATTCTAAACTGCGAGTAATTTCTCTGAATAGAGAGGACGATGCTGCTGGAATGAGGCATTCCATTTTTGGTTGTTGCTTGCTGCTGTTATGAAGAATGCTGTTTATGTATGTTCAGGGCCCAGAGGGCAAGCCATTATTTGGAAAAAAAGACTTTGTATTGTAGTAATATTTATCTAAATTATTTTGGACTTTCTTAAAATAATTTCCCCTGTTTTCCATTCCAGTGCGTTCTCTTGGCTCTATAGCACTTAGAAAAGCAGAAGACATTGACTTCAAGTACCACTTTGATTTCTTTAGTATAAACTTCAACGAAGAGCTAGTGGCACTATATGGTGGAAGTCTTAAGAAGCAAACAAAATTTGTTCATGAATGTATTAAAATAATCCTTAAACTCTATGAGGTAAGATGTTATATAGCAGATCTTCATCTTCCTTTTTCTTTATAAAGCAGTATATGTTAGTTAAGTAGTGTATGGGTTTTTTCACTTTGAGATATCATTTATTTCAAAGTTATTAAATTCAGAAAAGTTTAAAAAAATTTGTGTGTGCACACATGGGTGCGTGTGTGTGTGTGTGTGTGTGTGTGTACTCAACTATAGTTTCTGAAATTCAGAATTTACACTAACATTTTTTGTGACAAACTTGAATATTTGTTGGGATGGGGATTTTTGAAAATTAGCAGTTAATAGTTATTACTAAGATATGTTATTGCTAATAATTCATATTTATGTAGTCCCTGATAGTAATTTTCTTCACTTTAAAGATAAGCACATTGGCCATTTACCTATGATCACATATCAAATTGCTTATGCATCTGGTAACAAAATTTAGGCTTCAGTTTACATCGTTTAGTACTAAAAGCAGCATTTAGTAATAAATATTTGAGTGTCTAATGAGTTACTAAAGAAGCATACATTGGGTAGCTAGGTGGCCCAGTAGATAGAGCTCTGGCCTTGGAGTCAGGAGGACCTGAGTTCAAATCCAGCCTCAGACCAAACACTTGCTACTTGCCAGCAGTGTGACCCTGGGCAAGTCACTTAACCCCAACTGCCTAACAATTTTTTTTAAAAAAAGCACACATAAGATACAGTCTTTGCATGTAAGGCAAATATAACAATATGGGAAATTACATAAGTAGTGTGGCTATATAATGATTGATTTTTCATGCATATGAAAATTAGTTTAATTACTTTATAGTACTCACACTATATACACATACTAAATAGCGAATAAGACAGTATCTAATGATTTTGTAGTGTAGACAGTAGGTTAAATTAAAGAAGGAGATTACAGATGGCTAGAGCCAGTAGTGAGGACCATAGAATTGGGACATTAGATGAATTTTGAATGTACAGGATTTGGATAGATAGAATGGGAACAGTATGAGGAGTTCAGAGTGGGGGATTGGGGAGACAGAGTGAATGAATAAGTGATAGATCATTTAGTAATGATAATAGCAGACGAAATACAGACCTGCATTGTAGAGGAAGTTTCCTCACTTCAGAGTTTTCTGTACCAATGACATTACAGGTCTAGTCCCTGTCCCCTTCAAACTGATGCTTTCAAAGGTGCCAAGCCTTACTTATACTTATTTATACTATATTTATACTTTTTATTTTTCACAGGGTCAAGATTTTGCACCAAAAAGTGTTGCAATTGTTGGCCATTCCATGGGTGGCCTTGTTGCAAGAGCATTGCTTACAATAAAGAATTTTAAGCCAGAATTGGTAAATCTTCTAGTTACCCAAGCCACACCTCATACTGCACCTGTAATGTCATTAGATAGCTATCTCAATGGTAAGTGTTTGAATAAAAGTTCTCAACTTACAGATGTAAGTTATTGATTGCTAATTTATTTAGATTATGTATCTAAAGAAGTACCTGTGGTATGTGTTGTGGACCAGAACATACAGAAAAAGCTTTTGTTTGCTATTTCAGCTATAATATGAGTCCAGAATGAGCATTTCTCAAAGTTGTTAATTGTTAAATAGACCAAAATGATTTGTACTGATTTGAATTGTGATGTGTAAGTTGGATAAAAAGTAGAAATATAGATAATACTCTGCATAGTGTATTTTGAGGAATTTTGAAACCAAAAGTGTCTTAGAATAAACTTGAGCTTTTTAATGAAGCAGGTCTTATTTTTGAAATATGACAGTGTTAAAAAAAAACCCAGCTCTTCTTATTCCAGTCTCATGCTAATTAGAGTCAGGAGTGCGTTGCAGAGGATTAGATGTGCGAATACAAGTTTGTTTTGAAAATGAAAATTTATTTCCCTTACTGCATAAACGCAGCACAAGATTCCTTTCCTACATGTGTTGTATGAGCTCTTCAAGATCAGGAACTATCTCAGTGAGTTTTCTATTTAAATCTCTACTGGTTGGCATACAGAGTGAGTAAACAATATATGTATATTAATGTCATGATAAAAATTCAGATGACCATACATTAATTTTTATTTTTTGCCTTTTTGGCCATTATTATGCTATCATGTTGTACAAATGCAATAATTTGTTGAACAGAATTCTTTGAGAGTCTGAAATAACATAGCAATCATAATATCACTAAAGTGGCAATTATAATTTATTGCCAAAAAGTAAATTTGTACTATGAGAGAATCTGACCTAGCAGTCTTCAGGATGAATTTTGCTTTATCCTTTTTTCCTATTTGTACTTATCCTATATCAACTTTTCAATAAGGAAACATTTTTGTTGTGTTGTGGTTGCACTGCTTTTAATGGTTTTAATGGCAAATCATCAGTCAGGTTGAGCTGTCAATCTGTGTAGCATATTTCTAGGACTAGGACTCAGTGACATTTTTCAAATGATTAACATTTAAAAATCTGGGTGTTAAGATTTACTATGCTGTGGAGTCTTAAGGCCTGCATAGACAGAGGGACACTACATGGGGTATGGAAGTCTTATGGTTTTTCTCTGGAGGCAGGTTCTAGTCTTGATTTTGATGTTTAAGGCCTAAGGTTCCCTGATAAAGTATATTTTTCATTGATTAAAAGTCATCCAGATGAGATGCATAACCATTATCTGTAACTTTGCTTTTGTGAATATGGAGGTACCAAAGGAGATTAAATTTGTAGGTATTATTTTTTTCCTTTTTTTGACTAACCTAACTACTGGCCTAACTAACTGACCTGTTGGCAAAGTGGAAATCAATGACAATGTTTTTGTTAGGTTTCTGTTCATTTTTAAGGCAAGACAATGGTAATTGTACATTGTTGAATACTAATCCATTTGAATTTTCAGTTTAATCACAGGCATTACAAAAATGTTATTATTATATAACATATTTAAGTCACTACCTTGTTAATTTTTTTCTTTCAGATTTTTACAAAACAGTAAACAACTACTGGCTTCTGAACGCTCAGGACATAAAGCTAATCACTCTCTCTATAGCTGGAGGGTTCCGAGATTATCAAGTTCGATCAGGACTGAGTTTCCTAACGACACTAAGTCATCAGACCAAGACTTTATCTGTTGTGGTAATCATTTTGTTGATTTTGGATTTTTCTTCTTAGGCTTTCCTGGATTTCTTCCTGATGGTAGATAGAGGGGAGTAATATGTAATCAGTCATCAAGTAATTAAATTATTAAGCTTTACTATGTGCCCATCACTGGAAATACAAAGAATAAAACAATCCTTCCTGTCAAGGAACTTACCTTCTAATCAGCAAAACAACAATTACATATATAGGTATATACAGAATACATCTAAGGAGAAAAATAAATGTAAGCATAAGGAAGAGAGGGCACTAGCAATTGGGGAGATTAGGAAAGGCTTCATTTAGAAAGGTGGTACCAGCTTGAGATGCTTCTTTAAGGAAGAGAGAGATTCCATGAGTGGAGGGAAAGTAATCAGGGATGTGGATAGAATTCATTTTATTCGTGGAAATAACTAGAGCAGGGGCATCAGTCAATTAATAAACATTTATTAAGTACCTACTAAGCACTGGCATGAGAATGGGAGATAGAATACTTTGTACGAAGAGCAGATAGAAGGCCAGTTTGCCTGGATTGTAAGGTTTGGGAGAATAATGTCCATTGAAACTGGAAAATTAGGTTTGGGCTTTAAAAGCTAAACACAAATTTATGTTTTTGTCCTAGGGGCAATATGAGCTACTAGAGTTTATTAAGTAAGGCATGAGGTGGTCAAATCAATAGTTAGGAAAAATCACTTTGGTAGCTATGTGGAGGACTGTAGTAGAAAGTGACTTGAGGCAGCAGACCAATTATGAGACTGTTGAAATAATCTAGGCAGAGGTGCTGATGGGAAATAACATGTAATTCTCCCTATTGCTTAGACAGTAGCATTGAACACATTTATAGTATCTCTGTTAGTGTTAAAGATGAGTTGAAAAATATAACTAATCATTTAAAAAGGGCTGCTCCCTATAGTGGAAAAACTATTGGGAAATTTATGAACAAATAGTTTCTCTGTTTGCAGAGGTATTATAATCATTTGTTATATTTAATAAGATCTACTTTTTTGATTATAGTGGTCATAATAGGAAAATATTGACTGAGCTTTGTCTCTGCTATGAAATTCATTATGTGTAAAAAATTTTAACATACCAGTGAAAATTCACGGACACCAGCCCTTAATAAATTATGCCAGTATTAATAGTAAATGATTAGTCCTGATAATAGAAATGTATTCAGGATCTTTATTTGTGAATTTACAAGTTATCTTTCCTTACTAGGTCATCAGATATTTGGGTTTTAGTAAGACAAATGATCTGTCCTGATTGAGTTTACTATCACTTTCAGATTAGTGGAGCTCTTTGGTTACGACCATAACTTCTTGATTCACTACATAGTTGGTGATCTGAATACATTAAATACGAATAGTATAGATTGTTTGCAATGCCAGAATGTTGAACTTGATCTATATTTTGTTAAAAAAAAAACCTGTAATAATTATAAAGGTTAGCCTTCTTAGTCCCCTGGTTAGTTAGCCTTCATGGCCTCCTGTCCACTCAGATAGATCCTTGGTCTTCTATCATTGATAAAGGACATTTCCTTATTTGTATGTCTATTCTAGATATAGCTCTAAATTGAATAGGAGACAGATTTTTAAAAAATTTCTCATTCTATACTCTCCAGACAGATACTTAGTTTCTTTTCCACTTGGGGGCTACTTTCTGGCCTCTCATTTTGCCCCTTTATGGATCAGTCCTCTTGACTGATTCCATTTGTATTTGGCTGGTTTACTTAGTCACCTGGTCCCTTGACAAGTGAATGCACACTATATGAAGCAAAATTTTTATTAACACAAATTGTTTAATGACACAAAAAACTAATGCAGCAACATTAATAGGACGAAATGCAGAAAAATTGCATAGAGATTGTAATGGTGGGTGTGACAGTCGGTAAGTCTTGAGAAAAAAGGAATAGGGATTGTATTAATCATTGAATGAATGGGAAAATATTTATGAAGTGCTCATTATGTGCCAAGCACTGTGCTGATAGAGATATAAACAAAAAAATAGAAACAGTTCCTAACCTCAAGGAATTTATATTTTAATAGGGAGAGATAATCCTCATAGGATACTGGTGGCCAAGGAAGAATATTTTGGTTTAAAAAGTTGCAGTGATGTGGAACCATAGGAGAGTATATTGACACACCCTTTTAGGAAGAATGATAGAGCTGATTTGATAATAGTTCCAGAGCTGGAAAGGGTGAATTTGGGGGAAAGATACCTTTGTTGAATCTTGTGGTTGGTGAAGAGAAGTCTAGGGAATGAAATGAATCATGGCTAGATTCCAGGCCTAGATGTAGTAGACAACTGTCAATCAGAACAGCATGGTTCCATGGCAGGAATTCTGGGGATAAAAGGCATAAATCCTCCAGGGCTTGTTTTTTGGTCTAAGTACATGGCAGCTGGCAAGGAGATGAAGTTAAGTGTGTGAAAAATAGAGGAACAAAATGTGTGGTGCCCAAGGAACAAGAAATAATATTACCATCTATTGTTATTAGTCACTTCCCAGTAGTAATTGAACTACATTGGACTACATACTTGTCCTCAAAAATTCCATTTTCTTTTATTCACTTTCCTAGGCATAAATATTCCATGGAGAGAGAAACTCTTAGCTCAGTTTTTGTGTATCTATTCTCTTAATTGGTCTCTCTAACCTTTGCCTGAGTCAAAAAGCCCACATACATCCACCAGGACTTTGTCTTATGCTTTTCTAAACTCCTTATGTCATTACCCAAATGAAACGATGTCTTATAACTTAAGAAAAGAGGCACTTGAATTAGATAGAATTCTCAATTTCTGTACTGTTATTTAAATTCATTCTTGAAATGGAAATGGTCATTCAGTTTCATTGGCCTACTAATTATAGGAATTAACCTTTTCTCTCTACAAGTTCTTACCTGGGACCTTCCTCTTCTCATTCAGCTCCTGATTCTTTTTGATTCTTTGTGACAGGACTGACTGGTTAGTAAAAGGGGAGGGTAAACCTTTGAGACTGTGCTTCCCTTCTTTGCCTCCTCCAAGACCCTCATTATTATTCCCAAAGTGCAGGTTGCAAATATTCTCTTCTTTATTTGTCCCTTAATCTCTTCTTTCTTTTCTTTACCTCAAAGCCATAGAATCACAGAATGATAATGCTAGAGCTAGAAGGGATCACAGAGGTCTTCTGGTTCAACACCTTCATTTTTTTTTCATATTTTTTATAAATTTACAAATAAGGAGAATGAGGCTAAGAGAAGGATGTTAAGTGACTTACCCACCATGGTATAACTTTTAAGTGTTTTAAGTTAGGAGATTAGAACTCGGGTCTCCTTGACACCAGGTCCACTACCTCCTAAACATGTTGAGTTTGAGATACTTGTTGGTGTTGTCCAATAGACAGTTAGTGTTGCAGGACTGAAGCTCAGTAAGGGGGCAGGCTAGAAATAATTCATTAAACCTATGGGAGCTGATGAAGTCAGCAAATGATAAAGAGAAAACAGAAGAAGTGCTAGGACAGAGCCTTGGGATATACCCATGTTTAGTAGATATGACTAGGATGATGAAATAGCAGAAGAGACTGAGAAGGGCAGACATGTAGGAGCCAGGATAGAATATCAGGTTACCAGTGATAGAAGAGAGAGGTTACAAGAGAAGAGAGTGGTCATCAGTGTGAAGTGCTACACGGAAATCAAGAATTGAAGATTGACCATTAGATCTGGAAGTTTAAGAAATCATTTGGTAACTTTTGCATTATGAGTTCTAAGTAATTAACTTTTCCTACAAATGGGATTTATCATCCACTAACAAATAAGGAGCTACCAGTATGTAAATTTTCCAGTTTGGTTTGTCTTTCTGGTCCCGTGTATAGCAGTCACTACTCTCTCTAACAACCTCTCAGCTAACTGTGTCCTTTGTAACAAATCCAGATCTTTCAGGCAGAGAATAAGTTAGATACAACTTCAGCTTTGTAGACCTTTGTCTTAATCTAAAGGTTAATTTTGTGTTGTAATGCATTTTACACATAGCCCTTTGAAGGCCATTTTTATCTTCCTGATTCATCTCCTTTTTCTGTTATTGTACCAGTTGCCAATTTGTTACAGAAGAGAACTTTTATTTCTCTTTTTTATGAGTGCATTTTCTGTTTATAAGCTTTCCTTAAGCAAGCTGGCATGATAAATTGCATTTTTTCCAGTGTGTGATGCTGTGTAGTTAGGAAAATGGCCTATCACCTTTTGCATTTTTCCATGAATATTCATTTCTGAAATAAACACCAAATATATGATAAATCCTGAATAAATAATGACTGCTAATGGATCCTGGATGACATTGACAGCTTTTGAGCTCTAAAACAATGAGAACTGACATTTTATAGTATGTTAACATTTACAAAGTATTTTATATACATTGTCTTATTTGCTCCTTGCATCAATTCTGTAACGTAAGAGATACAGCTCTTATTATCTCTATTTTACAGTTGAGGAAATGAATCCAACAAGAGCATTACTTGCCCATGGTCACAGAGGAAACTGAATTTGAGCTCAGATCTGTTCTAAGCTCTACATTCAGTGCTCTTTCCATTATAGCATGCCACCTCTCAGTAGAGACCAGTATTACGGCAGCTGTTCTTACACGTTTTGTGTTATTTCTCTTCTGTCACTTCAGAATACTTGCCTTACATCCTTTATGATGGTGATTTGAATGAATAAATAAATGAAAAAAACTTTTATGAAGCCCTTACCTTATTCCAGATGTTGTGATAAGTAATGGGCATACTAACACAAGCAAGCAAGACAACCTGTGCCCTCAGGGGGCTTACATTCTAATATGGCAAGATTGGGAAAGATACCAAAATAATAGTGGTTTTTTGATTACTGTTTTCAGAGCTGGAATTGTAAGTGGGGAGAAAGCACGTGGCAACATTACAATGGAGATGGTCAGGGAGATTGTTTTTTATGTCATGTTTGTTATCAAGCTCTGAAATGGCCATCTAATGTGATCTTTGTAACTACATTAACTTAGTTTAACTACACTAATTTATTTAGTAGCTGGTAGGGTTAAGGCTTAGAGATAGTGTCAGATGCTTACATGTATGAACAAAATGTAGAGTTTTTGCATATTCCCTATATGTCTGTCTTTGTTAAATCTCAGAGATCATGGTAGGGGCAAAGGTCACTCTGTGATTCTGAAAGCACTGTTGGTAATGATACATAGTAGGCAGTGGAAGAAGACTCTTCCTGCCCCCCAACCTTTTGTACTGTTTCTTCCCTTGAACCATTTGTCACAATACACTTACATTATTTTATGACTCATTTTTAGTAAGCCTTTGTTTTGCTGCATGGGAAGTACTTTCTGAATTCTTTCTTAGGAATTGAGTCAGAACTAGTGATGAATACTTATTGTACACATGGTGCTAAGATGGATGCTGTGAAAATCTAATTCCCAAATGAGTACGATTGTTTACAGTGTGCCAGGCACAGCCCTAGGATATGGAATAGAATATTGCAGAAAGTCACTTTATCATTCACCATGTTGGTTCCCCTGGCTTCACAAAGAAGAGGATTGTTATGGTATTGTTAGGAACAATTTTGAAGGCATTTCCATCTTCTAGGAGATTTAAGGGCACCATTTGCACAGATTGATTATATTGCTAGCTGAGATCTAACCCATCAGGTCATCTGGCCAACTGCTCTGCACTGTGCACTTCTGTAGTCATTTTAACTTTCTTCATGTTTTTGAAATTGTGTTCTTTGAATGTCAGTTATGTCTATGATGTTTTAGGTGACACTGAGTTGATTTCTTGTTAAAGCCATGTAAGGGATAATTAATTGACTTTAGTAAGTAGTGATTTACAGAAGCTTTGATATCTTAGAAATAAAGGCTCATTGAGCTTCACAGTAGTAACATTTGGGTTGGGTGGATTTTTAAAGCTTATTCTTGAAATGCTTTACTACTGTTAAGTCATATTTTTGCCCTTCTGGCACAGTGAGAAGAATACTGGATTTTAGCATCAGGGAATCTTGTTTGGGGTCCCACCTCTGATCCCACCTCTAGGACCTTAGACAAGTTATTTAACTTCTCTAGAGTTCAGTTTTCTCATTTCCAAAATGAGGGAGCTGGACTCTATGACCCTTCATGTTCTTTCCAGCTCTTAATCTAAGATCCAGTATTCTCTCTTTGCAGGACTATGATATTTCAGAACGGAATAGCATTGTATAGTAAAGTGAATATGTCACTTATACATGTAAATGTTTGCCTGTAAAACATTTTGGAGGCTCTGAAAATGTGTTTCTTTTGGAGTCTGAGTTTATTTTTTTCTCTCTCTTTAGAGCACAGCAGTACCTAGAACTTGGGCTTCAACAGACCATCTTTCTATAGTTTGGTGAGTAAGATCTGTAATTAATAAGGCAGCTGTCATTTTTGCCATTCATATTGTGAGGCTCCCACTTGCCATTTGGTGCACTGAAGTGTACTTCAGCAAAAGGCTTTTTTTTTTACATAGGGACTTAGCAACCTGATAGATGGGATTTGGGAAGGTTACTTAAATCTCCTACGTCTCACCTTAAAATAGATATGATAATAATCAATATCTATTTACTCTTATATAGTAAGTATGATAAAAATTATGAAATCATTTTGTAATTTTTCAGGTGGGTAAGGGGGCAGAATCATTCTGCCCTAATTCTGCCAATTGTAGAGTGGCATACCCTCTGAGAGATTAGATGTACCAAAGAAAATGGGGCTTATACCAGCTTAGATATTAATAGGTTTAATTATGGTTAATTAGGTTAATTGGGAGAGTTTACTTACAAGAGGCCAGTTGTCCTGGGTGGCAGCAGGACAAAGTAACGTTGTAGATTCCTACACCAACCCCAAGTCAGATATTATATAGAAACAGAACAAAGAAGGCATAGGGCCAGGATGGCCCAGGGCCACATGTAAGTTTTCCCATGGGATAGTTGGAGTTTCTTTTGCTCTTTATATTTACTCAAGGTAGTTTGCATTCTCTGTGAGACTCAAAATAATGTTCCTAGGCTCTGGCTACCACTGTACAAGGTGCTATAATAATGATGCTTAAATTGATAGAATTATAGTCATTCCTGAAACCAAAGTCATATGATGACACAGAGCTTTCCTGTTTTAGATTTTTCATTTATAAAATTTTTCTTATCAATTTCTTTAGGTGTAAACAATTGCAGTTGTCTACAATTAGAGCTTTTTTTGACCTTATTGATGATGATACTAAACAGGTAGGTGTTAGTTAGTAAATTATATATGTATTTCAGTAAATAATTTTTGATATAATAGACTCCTATACCTTATTGATTTATGGACTTAATACATAATGTATTTTTACTCTTACAGAAATAATAGCCTTCATAACTAAGTAGGATTAATGTCAGAAATGCAAGGCTTAGGAAAAACTATCAAAAATATCCGACTTAATATACAATATGAAGCTTTAATAGCTTGTGGTTAAGTTATTTTTCAGTTGTGTTCAACTCTCTGTGACCCTATTTGGAGTTTTCCTTCTATAGCAAAAATGGAGTGGCTAGGTAGTACAGTGGTTGGAGTAGCAGGCCTGGAGTCAAGAAGACCTGGGTTCAAATTCAGCCTTAGACACTCACTAGCTGTGTGACCCTAGGCAAATCACTTAACCCTGTTTGCTTCAGTTTCTTCATCTATAAAATGAACTGGAAAAGGAAATTGCAAACATCAACCACTCCAGTATCTTTGCCAAAAAAACACCAGAAAGGGGTCACAAAGAGTCAGACATGACTGAAAACAACAAAACAACAATAGCAAGAATAGAAGGATAGCAGCTTCCTGCTCTTGTGAGACTTAAGAGTATAGTAATTCTACAAGCTACATACTTTTCTCTTCAGACTGTTACTAAAGTATGGTTGACTTAATACCATGTATGTAAACCATGAAAATTGTTGCATTTTTCTTTTCAGATAACTATGAAACCAAAAAAGAAGATGTCTGTTTTGAATCATCACTTTGTAAAGAATCCAGCAAAGCTTTTTGAGGAAACTCCCAATATAGTTGCTGATTTAACAGGTTGGTGATGAGAATAGCATCTTTTATATTTTAGTAGAATCTAAGAACAATATCCGGAAATGCCATCATTATAGCCTAACAGAGTTTAGGACCCCGTGGTGATTAGAGAGATAGATAGATGATAGATAGGTAGGGAGATAGAGAGGTGTATGTAGATAGGTAGATAGATAGATGATAGGTAAGTGGGTAGATAAGTAGATAGGTAGAGATAGATATAGACAGATGTAGATTGATAGATGATAGATAAGTAGATAAAGATAGATAGTTGTAAATAGATAGGTAGGTAGATAGATGATAGAACACTTACCAAGCATTTACTATGTTCCAGGTTCTGTGACTGGCTGTGAAGATACAAAAACAAGAAAATAAGATTGTCTCTGCTTTCAAGGAGCTTACATTCTAATAGGGGAAGATAAAACATTAAGAGGAATTGAGAAAGATGGGAGGAAGGTGAAAAAAAGCTTCCCACACAGGGGGAAGGCTCCAGTGGGAAGGTGGAACAGATTAGAAAGAGACTGAGTCCCAGCCACACTGGAACTTCTCTAGATACAGGCTGTCCTGGGCAGGTATTCACCTGTCAGGAATCAGGCCTTAGGATAGAGTTATTCTTAAATAGACAAGAGAATCTGATAGGAAGGTAGGGGAAAGACTGAAGAGTGAACTTAGAAGTATTTAATATATTGCAGCCTTTAAAAAGTTCATAGTGAAACTGTGGCATTCATGCAGCTCTTTGTGTATTAGTATAATATATACATGGGACAATACATTAATATAATAAACAAGTAAGGGGCCAAAAGAGAAGGAATAGAAGCAGGAAATTAGAAAAAAAATTATCAGATATAGTGGATGAAAATTTTCTTCTACTGACAACAGTATTACAAAATAAGGAAGGTGTTTTCCCAAGAAACTGTGGTTCAAATTTAGATTAGCTAGTACCAGCTGAAGAATGAATTTTCAAAGAAAAATAGAGTTAATAGGATAAACATAATAGGTGTAGATTTAAGTAATGATATAAGAAAAGAGCTCAAGATTCCCACATTTCCAGAATAGGAAACACTTTCCAAGGTAATAATCATCTTGGGTGAGAAGTGACCCTGAGTTTTCATGCAGAAATATGTCTTAAGCACTTTAGCTCTGAAGAAGATAATGTACCTTCTTTAGTATAAATAAAGATACTGTGCATGAATACACAATAAAAAGGCTACTAAACTTTAGAGGGTGTGTGAAATCTTTACAACTAATATTTGTTACAAAAGAGAGTTACTAGAAACTTCAGTTCTTTTCCTGGCTTGATAGTGATTGCTTCAAAACTTGATTTTACACAAATACTAAGTTTGAAATTTAAAAAAGAAATCCACCTCAGGGTGCAGAATTGTTTCTGTGTAAAATTAGATCTACATTCTCACAGTTATTGGTACAGAGCAATGATTTATCCGGAAGTTCTGCTAGATGAATTCTGTGGTCTGTTAACACACAGAACTTTTTCTCTCAATCCTTTCTGAAGAGCCTAAGACAACTTGCCAATGCTCAAGTCTACACCAAATTCAATGCAAAAATTTTGTTTCTGCGTTCAAATTTCATGCTTGTTACTAAGCTATGGCCAGGGGCTGCCAATTGAGTATAATGTTTAAGATACATTCCTTCCATTTTCAAAAGCCAATTCATTTCTTTCAACTGGAATTTGTGCTTAAGGAGTTATCAGAGCAATTTTTGTTCTCTGCCGGCTGATCTGAGCCTTCTTGGAAAATTTTAATCTTGTTATCTTGTTACCATATCAAAAGCTTAGCCTGTCAGGGCAGTTTGTCAGAGAAGCATGACCCATATTTGCCAATGCATTAAATATTTGTTTCTCATCCAATTGAAAAAATTAAGTGAACATTTTGTATACCCTTCTCATTGAGGGCATGTAGTAGTACCAGTGGTAGAAACGGTGAAGTCAGAAGGAGGAATAAGCTTTGGGGAAAGAACACATTGTTTGAGATACACATGGGACATCCAGGCAGAGGCAACTTGGAGGCAGTTCAAGACTTGGGTCCGGAGCTTAGAAGAGAGGTCAGGGGTAGAGAAAGCATATTTGTGAGTCATCTGTGGAAATGAATTACTTAAATCCAGATGAGTTAGTGAAGTCATCAAGGTAGAGAGAGAAGAGGATGTCTAGCTAAGGAAGAGGAGCAGGTAAATAAACAAATACAGAACCAGCAGAGCATGTATGATGATGTCTCAGAAGCCAAGAGGAGAAAAAATTTTCAAGACATACACAGTGATCCACCTTTTCTCACTCAAGACAGGTCATTAAACTGGGTGATTAGGAGGAGTTTGGTAACCTTTGAGACAAGTTTCAGTAAAGTTGTGCAGACAAGAAGTGAGATTGCTGGGGAACAGCTAGGTGGTGCAGTAGATAGAGCACCGGCCCTGGATTCAAGAGGACCTGCGTTCAAATTCGGCCTCAGACACATAACATTTACTAGCTGTGTGACCCTGGGCAAGTCACTTAACCCCATTGCCTAGACCAAAAAAATAAAAAGTAAAAATTAAATTAAAAAAAAGAAGTGAGATTGCAAAGTACTGAAGAGAGAGCTAGTAAAATGGAAACTTGGAATATAGGCTATTTTTTTGCCACAGAGTATCCAGAAATGGAGAAATAACTTTGCCTTTCTCTGATCAGACTACATTGACAATATTGTATTTAGTTCTGGACACCACGTTTTAGAAAAGAGTATACTGAAAGCATCCAGAATGTGATGGACGTTGAGATCCTGCCAGATAACGATTGTTTAAAGGAAAAGGGCATGTTTAGCCTGGAGAAGAGAATACTTAGGGGAAACATGATAGTTGCTTTGTCTTTATATCCCCAGTGGTGTCTTACACATAGTAGTCACTTAATGCTTTTTAAATTAGAAAAAGCATTGGCCACAAAGGGGAAGACAAGAAAAGGGATAGTAACAAAAATGATTTAGAAGGGACACATTTTTCTTGTTTTATGAAAGAAGATAAATACTTTCTTTTTTTTCTTTCTGTTGATAGTTCCACAGTGAGAACAAGACCAAATATAGTTATTAAAATTATTAATGTAGGTGCTAGTTAGTTATGAGTACATGAAGGAAACCCATATTTCCTGTTTTAAATAGCTTATGTTCAGGAATGTAGAGTTTGTTTAATGTCATATTATGAAGAATAAATGTTTCTTCTGCAGCCAGCAGGAAAGCAGTTAAGATTTTATCGTTCAGAAGTGAGAATAATTTTCTCTGCTTTAGGGACATCTAAATGGGTTCCAGTGAAAGTAACAAAATGGACATTTATGGCTTTTAATGTAAGTACTTAAACAAATATTTTAGAATGAAGATAATATCTCCTTTGTGAGGGTGGTTGTATATAGTGATTTTCTTCCTCTCTATTTTTTAGGAGTCTTATGCGATATATTTTGCATTTCCTCTCTCAAATCACAGAAAAACCTACAGCCATGTATTCTGTCAGAACAGTATGTTGGTAAGAAAATGTCTTTAACTTATGTTTTAAGTTTAAAATGGCTAAAGATAGTTTATCCTTTAGAGCCAATCATGTAACACATAACTGTCAAGAATTTCAGAATTTTTGCTTCACAACTAGGCCTAAACTCAAGCCATGTTTCATTTGACTCCTCAGACTTCTCATTAGCCACCATGCTCCCATGTGAATAACCCCACCCTCTATCGCTTTCCTAGTTATGGAACCATAATCATATCAACTGTCTTTGCTCATGGAAAAATATGTCATTCTTCAGTATACTCCCTTTTGACTCTACTCACCATCACTATAATTTTCCAAACTGAAAGATTCCTCCCCTAAAAGCTACTCTCTTATATGTGTTATCTTTCTTTCTAGAATGTTAGCTTCTTGAGGGCAGGGATTGCTTTTGTATTTGTATTTGTATCCTCAGTGTTTAGGACAGTGTTTAGCACATAGTAAGCACTTATTAAGTACTTTTTTATTCATTCATTCATTTAAGAATTGCCTTCAGCACTGAGAGATGAAGTGACAAGGACACACGTCTGCTATGTGTCAGATATAAGACTTTAATGCAGATCTTCCGACTCCAAGCCAGAAACTGTATCCACAGCATTCTACTGCCATGTGCACACACATGTATACATACATGCTTTTTTATATAATAAACACGTTTTATAATAGACGTACACATATGTAGTTGTATAAGTCTCTCTGTAAATACATGTGTGTTTATGTACACATATATATATGTGAAATGAAGTGACCCTTCTGTTTGCCAAGGCTAACACCTCTACACATACCCTTAATTCCATCCTTTCCCATCAGCTTATCCCTTCAGTCATTTCCTCCCTCTCTCTAATGCTCAGTCTCTCACCTGGTTCCTGGCTCCTTGCTTACTACCTTCAAACATGCCCTAGTTTCTTCCCCACACCCATATCTTTTGAAAACCTTTAGAGACCCTTGCATTTCCTCAAACTATCATATCCTACCTCTCATTCCTTTTTCAGCCAAATTCCTAGGGGAAAAAAGCAAACTTCACTTCTTTTACCTCCACTTCCTCTCATTCCCTCAACCCTTTGCAGTCTGGCTTCTGCTCTGTCCTTTAGACCAGAGGTTCCCAAACTTATTTGGCCTACCACCCCCTTTTTAAAAAAATTGCTCAGCTCTCCCCTGGAAATTTACTTTAATCCTTCAGCAGTTTTTTTTAAGTTTGCCCATTTTAAAAAACATAAAATAATTTATTTAAACAATGGCACATATTAAATTTAATAATTTATTGTAAATTTGTGGATTTTTTCCTGCATTGAAATTTTGACGATGCAATATTGCATAATGTATCATTATGTATTGTAAACAAGTCATTACCCGCATATATTCCTGCCCATGCATGCTGGACTTCTCACAATGTGCAACATGCTCACCTGCCAACATTTGGTTATTAAGACTGGTCGGTGGACATGACCACTGATTGGTTATAACTTGCATTTTGTGTGTTTGTTCGGAAAATAATGTAATCACTACGATTTTAACTCTGTTACACAACAGATGAACCATGTAAAAACAGTTTTTCAAAATTTTCTTATCTTTTCTTCTTTCCTTATACTTTTACCACCCCCTTATTTTTTATTCAATGCCCCCCAATTGTAGCTGAGGCTGTTACCAACCCCGCCATTGGTCCAGTGCCCTGGTGGCAGTATCTCCCACTTTGGGAGCCTCTGCCTCTTAGGCTGTTCCCTCTAGAGTTACCAGTCGTCTCTTAATTTCCAAATCAGACTTTTCTCAGGAGTCCTCCTCCTCAATCACACTGCTGCATTGGGCAGTGTTGACCACCCTCTCTGCCTACATGTTCTCTCCTCTCTGTGTTTCCATGACATTACTCTCTCTCATTCTCCTCTTACCTCTCAAATCAGTCCTAGATGCCTATTTCTTAAAATTAGAGATACTTGTGTTTTACAAATAGTATTTTTAGAGGATGAGATTTCAGATGCATGTTTTTTTCTCTGCTTCTTCACCAGCAAGGAGGCACCTATATTATCATTTTGTTTATTGTCCATAAGTATAACTTAAGTCTAATATATGCCATCAATCAATTTCACCTTTCACATATGAAGAGTGTCCTATTTTCAGTTACTGATTCAACTAATGTGTTAAGTATAAGGCCTTGAGGTAGATGCTGAGGGTTAGGGTTAGGTATTAATTCTTCATGTTAATAAGACACATAGGTGCATAGGTCTAGAACTGGAAGGGACTTCTGCGGCTGCCTCTAATTCAGCCCTTATATTTTACTGATGAGAAAAGTGAGGCCTAAGGAAGTTAAGTGACTTGCCCAAGGTCACATGGGTATTAAAAGACAACAGTCAGGATTTGAAAACAAGTCTTTGCTCTCAAAAAATTTATAATCTAGTTGAATTTTTTGGCTGCATGACTTTTTGCATGACTTTTATTATTTTTGTATTTGCCTCTATTCTCATAGTTGACTTACTTATCTTGTTTAGAAAAAGCTACCTCATTGATTATCCCAGGCCCGTCTGCTCTAGTCTGCCAGTTGCCTTAGTTTTCCTAGAGGTTCACAATTATATCATACATTCTTTGAAGTTATTCATGCATTTCTTTTATCATTTTTGCTTGTGGTTACTCCACTTAAATTCATTCTGCAACTGAAATAGAATATTCCATTATCTAGTCTTCTTAAATTGCTAGCACAGTCATATCCTGTTTTGATGAGTATTGCTTCAGCATTAGTGTGCTTGAATATATTTTAGGACTAAATATGACATACTTGCAATACTGATAAAATTTATCAGGAAACTGTATTTAATGCCTTTCATAGGTTGAGGATGAAAAATTGCTTAGGAGATTAGATGACATTAGTGTAAAGGACACTCTCATCCAGGAATTTGATGTCCCATTAATGCCAAACTTTCCCTCCAGCGTTCCACAGCACATCTTTACTCCTACTCCCGCCTCCCTCCTCCCCCAGCCATTTAAGCCCTTCTTTCTTTGTTAAATCATATAAGATACATAAATTATCCTGTTGCTTTAGGCTTCCTGCCCTCCTTGTCTTCTTCCTCCTTCCCAAGGGAGGCATCACAGGTGGAATTCTAAGTAACACTATCCTCACCTTTGTTTGTGTTTCTTCTCCACTTAGTCTCTAGTGGATCTTTAAAAAGTTGATGTTGCTTTTGTCCTTATTTTAACTTTATTTAACAGTTTATCTTGTTTTGTGTTAACTGACAGGATAGACATAGTTGGATTTATGGCTGTATAAACAGTGTTTCTATGTGGTGAGTATGTTAATTGTATTAGAAATGTATCACTGTCTCCATTTAGAGTCACTTAAAGACCAAAATTTGTTTTTCCCCCAACATAAATTAAATATTCAAAACCATCAGACTTTGTTTTAAAATAATTTAATGTTACACGTATAGTGGAAGAGTGCCAGACTTGCAGTCAGAATGACCTGAGTTTGAGTCTTCATTCCAACACTTAATATCTATGTGACTTTAGACAAGTCACTTAAAGTCTCTTAACTTTAGTCTTCTCATCTATTAAATGAGGATTATAGTAATTTCACCACTTACCTCCAGGGATGTTGGGAATAATGAGTTTTATAAAACTTAAAATGCTACCAATTATATAATTCATGATGGTTGTATACAGATGTTACCAGTTTTAAATTCAGTCCATGGTTTATTTGCTAATTCTTTGTTGTTCTTGCTGTTTGTTTACCAATTGTTGTTGCCTTTTGTTTTTGTCATATGCAATTGTTATATTGATCAGAATCTAGCTTCAGGTATTTATCTCTTCTGATAACAACCTTGTTATGGTTCATTTATAGTACTCAAGGTGTTGACCTGTCCTGGAAAACTGAACTGCTGCCAACAATGAAGGTAAATTATGCCTTTTTAATTTTGGTTCTTCCTGGCGAAAAAATATTTCGGTATGCTTGTAAATACTTTGAAAAACTGTTGGCACATGTAATTTTAATCTATCTTGGTATTAAGTACTTCCTGCTATTGTAGAGTGTAGCCTTTTAGAAGCATTTTCTTAAGGAATATAAGAAGCAGTTTTCTTTTAGTTTCCTTTTATTATTTTCCCAGTTCACTGTAAATCTGTTTAAGTCTTCCGAATTTTAATGATTTAATTTTTTTCTGTTAATAAACACTTGAAGAATTAATCTGTCCATCCCACTGCTTCCCCCATAGCAAATTAAAAAAAAAAAAAAATTAAGTCCTCCAGTTTGTTAAGCCATTTCCCAGTAAGAGGATGCCCCCTTAATTTCCAATTCTTGCTACCTTGAAAAGAGCTGCTTTACATATTTTTGTACATATAGATCCTTTTCCTCTTTCATTGATTTCTTTGCGGTGTTAAATTAGTAGCGATATAGCTGAATCCATTTAGCTTGGATATGAGATCTCTACCAGAGAAACTTGTTGCAAAGGCTTTTTTCCCATTTACGATTCCCATTTAATTTTTATATTAAGTCTCTAAAAAAACTTTTTTTACATTTAAAAATTTATAGCAAATGAGTCAAATTTTTATGTAGTTATTTTAAATTGCATTTAATTACTTACTAATTTGATTTACTTACCATGCTTGCAATGAAATATAAAGAACACAAAGGTAAAGCTCCTTTATTGGTCTTGAATTCCTAAAGGAGACATTTTCAGAATCTTCAATAAATATAATTATTGGGAGCTTGATTTCCAGTTATTTTATTGTTATTGACAATTTAAACATTCCATTAAGGGAATTTTATAAAGTACCATATAAAATTTGGATTCTCTGTTATAACTATAAACACGAATCATATATATTTAAAGCAAAGTTTTATAGCATATATCAAATCATTATGCGCCTAATTGAGTGAAACTCCTTTCTCATTTGTTTCAGACTTTCATGTTGAAACTCCAAGATTATCCAAAATTGTCTCATGTTGTTGTTTATGTACCATCTACTAATGGAAATAAGGTAATAACAATTTTAAGCCATCTTCAACTTGTCTGTTAATATAAAAATATTAATACAAATAAGATATTCTCAGTATATTTATGATAGTTATATAAAAATTTTAAAATAGATTTTTGTAAAATTATATTTGGTGATTGTATTTATTTTTCCCTTGCTTATTTGCAAATAACAAGATGTGCCCCATGTGTATTTGGAGCACTATTTAGAGTCATTAAAAAGCATTAATTCCAATTTTATTCTGATTCAACTTTGGATAAAAAACCTTGTCCAGGTGGGAACTTTCAGTTGCATTTTTCTGCCTTAGAAAGGTTTGAAAACAAAATTCTCAGTTTTAAAGTCCTACCAAGTTCCCAATATAACAGATTCATTGTCGTCTTCTACTTAGCTTAAATCAGAGAGGATTCTTAGGCTGCGTTAATCTAACAGTGCTCTTTTACTTTCCTTTTCTTTTTTTAGGTTTAGGCTGCTTTATTTACTACTACTTCTAGTACTACTACTAATTTTTTTTTACAAATACATTTTATTGATATCTTTTGTTTTTTACATTGCCTAAATTTCCCCTTGTATACCTCTTCCTTCCCCATCTTAGTGAGTTGTCTTTTATGGACTATAACAATGAAGAGGAAAAAAATACCACCAAAAGCTACAATTACATTTTTAAAAATCTCACAATATATTCCCATGTCCTACCACTTCCCCCTAAACCTCCATAAGTGTTTTTTCATATCTCTTTTTTGGGCCCAACCTTGTTATTTGTAACTTTTCAGCATTCATTTTGATTGTTTTGTGGCTGTTCTTTCCATTTCCATCCAAAAGATCCTGTGTTTATTGTTGACTTTACTGTTCTTACTTCACTTTATATCAGTTCATATAGTCTGTTCTTCTCTGTATTCATAAGTGTTTCTCACAGCACAGTAATAGTCGCTTATATTCATGTACCACAGTTTCTTTAGTAATTCCCCAGCTGACAGGTTGTTCTGACTTTGTTCTCAGTTCTTTACTAAGAAAAAATGGTAATATAAATTATTTTGGTATGTAGGGAGCCTTTCTTTTTAATGAGCAATTTTCTTGGAGTGTATGCATAGCATATGCTCTGGGCCAAAAGATAAGAACATTTTAGCTTCTTATTTGCTAATTTTGCTTAATTCCAAATTATTTTCCAGAATAGTTTTACTGATTCTCAGGTCCACCAACAGTACATTAATATGCTTATCTTTCTACAATTCTTCCACATTGCTTCTTTCTCTCTTTTGTCAACTTTGCCAATTTGCTGGATATGAGGTGAAACTTCAGGATTGTTCCAGTTTGTGTTACTTTAATTATCATTGATTTGGATCATTATTTCATATGGTTATTGATAGCTTTCAGTTTTAGATTTACTTGTTTATATCCTTTGACTACTTGTGCACTGGGGAATGTAAGATCCCTCTTTTCCAAAATGTGTGTCACTTCAGATAGAATTAAATAGTTTTCTAGCCTTTCCTCAAATTTCAACAATTTTTTCTCGTTTTCTTTAGGAAGTTCCTTTAGTTTCTTTCCATTTACTGACTTTATTTTATCTTACAATAAGCACTGTTATCCTGAAATATTCCATAATTATAAGGTCAACCATACGCAACTAAGCTACAATAAGTTTGCCAAAACCTTTATGATTTGTGTTCTGTACTCACCAAACACAGTAGATGTTTCTTATGAGTGTATAAATCATTTTCCTTTTGACTTAAGACTTTCAGTAAAACAGTGTTCATTTATAATTCATCCTCATTTGTTAGTAGCTCCTAAAGTACTTTTGATATTCTCTCCCTTTCCTCTTTCTGAGCCTGTTTGCCAAATACGTGATTATCTATAAGCTAATACTCAAAAATAATAGGCAGAGTTGCTATTTAAAGAGACTTTGCTGTTACTCCTTTTATAATGAACATAACTTTAATTTATAGAGAAAGTTAAATGAAATGTGTTGTATCAACTTTTCTTAAAAGTTGGCACACCTTTAATAAAAGATTTTTTGCAACTTATGTTGATGTTATGTTGGGACAGTTAACAATCATTGGTGTCATTGATATTACTTGTTTAGAGGCAGAGTTTTATAAAGTTTTACATTTTATTTTGTGACTCTTTGCTTGGTTATCACATTTACTATAAGTTTAGTTTTACCAGTAAGGTTTTTTTGTGTGTTTTTCCCCCCAGTTTGTTGTAGACTGTGAATTTTTTCAATTAGAGTTAAGAACTGTTCATCTTCCTGTAACTCATCTCTTTTCTTTTGGTAGGTATCTTGTTTCTGCGAATCTTTTATTTGTAACAGATTATCTGTAATAGATTATTTTATATTTTATAGTTTCAAAGTATCTTTTACTTGTGTGCTGGATTCCTTCTGATGAGTAAGAGGCACTGGACCCTGCTTCCTTGTATTGTGCTAAAGATTGTTTGCTGTTTAACTGAGGCAGCATAAAAACTGTTTAACGCAAACATAATAATTATGTCTCTCATGTGTATGGTGCTTTATGAAGAGTTCTCACTTATACAACTTCATTTGTTGCTAATATTACCCTATAAAATAAGTAGGACTGATAACATTCCAATTTACAAGTAAGAAAACACAGGCTCAGAGAAAACGTGATTTGCACAGCTCATAAGTAACAGCACTTAAGCTTGAGTCCAGGTCTCCTCATTGACTTCCTGTTCTCCTTCTACTACCTGTGTAAATATCAGAAGGGGCTGTGAATATGAACGCATATATCATAGTGGGCCAGTCCCCTGAAATTGCCTTTGGAAGAATTGTCTGTCCTCCATAATAATCACATTGATTTGCAAATTACATTAAAAGGTGTTTGGGTTTTTTTTAACTGATTTTGTTTTTACATATGTTCTTGTGCTATGTTGGCCCTTTATGAAATCTTCATTTTCCTCACAACTTTCCAAGATTTCTCTAAAATGTTCTTTACTTTCTATGTGAGAAAAAAAAGGGCTAGTTGAAATAAAATCCTGTTTTCAAGTTAGGCCTCATTTCTTAGAAAAATACTAAGACTAACTCAATAAGACTATGGCATCCCATTATATAATTTCCCCCAAAAAATGACATGCCAAATTTTTTAAACTTGATAAAATTAATCTATGTTTGATGTTTTTAAGCTATGTGTGTGTATATGATTGAAAAGTTAGTCTAGCTTATTATTTGCTTTTAAATGAAAAGAGAATAAAACATCTAAATTGTTAAGTATAAAGATATTAGCCCAAATAAAAATCCTAAAACTTAGATCAAAGAAATCAAGACATTTAAAGGAACCATACAGAGTTGACAGTAGTGTCATATATCCCCTGCAGTAGTTTTTTGACTATGTGAGTAAGAGGCTACACATACAAGTAGGTGATATATAGGCATTCAGTCCCTTATTATTTCCTCTTGGTATTTTTTAGTTATATGTACAATTTTGCATTCCTACTAAATTTCATCTTGCTCGTATTGGGCTTTTCTTCAATTTGCCAATGATATCTTTATTCCTTAATTTTATCCTGATTCCTTTATCCTGTTCTCTAAATTGCTAACTACATTTCTAAATTAATGTAATAGCCTTTAATATAAATGCTGTCTAGTTGTTTATCCATGCCCTTGGTTTAAAAAAATATTCCTGTTAGATTCAGAAGGATATTGTACAATTAGCCTCCAACCTAGCTCTTCTTTTTCCTACTGAAAACTTCTTATGATAGTATTCTGAAAAATTGAAAGGTTATTGCCTTTCTCTTAAAGTAATCCAGATTTCAACGGGTGCTAGAATTGGGCATAGGGCACCTAGGAAGTACAGTGGACAGAGTGCTGGGCCTGGAGTCAGGAAAATGTGAGTTCAAATTCAGCTTCAGATACTTACTAGCTGTGTGACCCTGGGCAAGTCACTTAATCCTGTTTGCCTCAGTCTTCTCATCTGCAAAATGAGCTGGAGAAAGAAATAGCAAATCACTCCTTTGCTAAGAAAACCCCTAATGGGGTCACAGAGAGTTGAACACAACTGAAAAACAGCTGAACAGTGAGTCATTTACTCTATGAGTATTTCTCTGTCTTTAAAATGAGAGTAATAATACTTGCCCCTGTGAACTGATTTTTGAGCCACTTATATGTTCAGCCTATGATAGTCTAGTCTTTGAGAAATGTAACTTGTGACATAATCTGTCAGACTGTTATCCAGTAAACCTTGATTTCTGTACGAATCTGTGCCTTAGTAATGTTCCTTTATTTATAGCCACTATTGCAATCTCTAAGTCAGTTTCCTCTCTCCATCCATATACTGTTTGGGCTTGTTTGGAGAAGAAGGCATTTCAGGAATCTGATGTTATAGAAGAAAAATTTGATCTAGAATCAGAGAATCTGGTTTCAAATGCCACTTCTGTTTACTTGCTACCTGTGTTGTAAGTCACTGAATCTCTCTGGGTCTCAGTTTCCTCATATTTAAAACGAGGGAGTTGGATTAGAGGTATCCAAAAGTAGAATATGTTTCCTTGAATTTGGAAGGCTACATATTAGGTATGTTGTAGAGAAGATCCTTATTCTTTATGGCTTGACCTAGATAACCTCTGAGGTCCCTTACAAGTCTAAGATTTTGTGACAAGATCTCTTTTAAACACTGTGCTTCCATGTTAGGTACTTAGACAAGCTATTTACTGGCGTGATGATTGAAAAAAGAAGTTATGGTTAATGGTTATTTTATGTCATGTTTTCCCAATTAGTTGCCAAAGGGCAAATATAAAGCCCTAGTGAAACAAAGATTTATTACTTCTATTATATCTCCTAAGTTTGTTTTTTATCTCTCATTAAAGGAAATTATTTTTCCCTGAATTCAAGAAGTGATGTTAATTTCATTTGTTACAGAATTGTAGCTTTTAAAAAATCCTTTTTCCATATTTAAAATTGTTCATTCCAAATGTGTATTTTGTGTACTGCTTCAGATAATGTGGTATGGATAAGTATTTCCCAAACTAATTTGACCACCGAATAGTACGGTGACAGAACCTTAAAATTCTGATTCAGGGCCTCTGTGAAAATGGAGTTTCTCAGGAATAAAGGAGAGTTGGGAACATTTGAGAGCAAATTAGGCAAAATTAAACTTACTTTTATGTAAAGATTACTGCACATAAATATAATACAGAATTTCACATTAAATTCTTTAGAGGGAAAATATTTTTTCACTGACATTTTGTCATGAAATCCTTTTTTCATAATTTGTGGAGCATGAAGATTCTATGGAATATGGTTTGGGAAATGCTGACATGGAATGCTGAATTGTAAGGACAATTGAGTTTGAGTTCTAGTTCCATTACTTACAAGTCTTTTAAGCACTTGGACAAATCACATTGACTCTCAAGCTGCAGTTTCCCTATCTATAAAATGGAGATAATACTTGCACTGGCCAAGTCAGTGTTGAGGGTCTCATCAGATAATGGGTATGAAAACTTGCTGAAAATTGCAGTGTTTTACAAATTAGTACGTTATCAATCCTTCATAACTTTTCAGTAATAAAAGCTAAACCCTTTTGAGAATATGAATTCTACAAGAATTTTATCAAAATATCTGTCATGACTTAAGGAACCTTTAACTTAAAGCCTCTCTATTATATTTTGATTTAAATATTCCTTTGTCATAGGTATGTCATCTGATCAAAATTCAAATATTTCTTTTTTAAAAATAAACTTGTATGACCAATATTCCCACCTAACAGAAGGAAAAAAAATTTGCTAGAAGTGTTTAAGAAATGATTTTCTATTGTCATTTGTCTCTTGCATATTATAAGACAGAGGTATCAGACACATGAAGGCCACATGTGGCCCACAACACTCCTGAGTATGGCCAAACCTGATCAAAATGTAATTGAGAAATATTTAACAAAATGAATAAAAATACAAGAAAACATAGGTAATATATTTTAAAATTGAGTCAGTATACAGCCTGCAGGGATCCTTCTGTACAGTTAGGGTCCCTCATTTCTATTTTTTATTTGATACCATTGTTGTAAGAGGCAAAGAAACAGGGCTCTTTCTGTTTGAAAGATCTCTTCTATTCCAGGCTTTACCTTATACAGAGAAGCACTGCCAGTAGAACCTGTATGACATTAGCTAAGAAGTTTCACTTTCCTGGGTTTCAATTTCATCATCTATGAAAATGAGAGATTCCTTTAGCCCCAAATCCAATGATCTTTTTGTTTGTTTCAGTTTTTCTGATTTCCTCTGAGTTTGTGATATTTTCTTATAAAGCAAAGCCTTACTTATTTTTTCTCTCTCTCTCTCTTTTTTTAGGCAGTTGGGGTTAAGTGACTTGCCCAGGGTCACACAGCTAGTTAAGTGTCAAGTGTTTGGTCTGAGACCGGATTTGAACTCAGGTCCTCCTGACTTCAGGGCCGGTGCTCTATCCACTGTGCCACCTAGCTGCCCCCAAAGCCTTACTTATTAAGATATTTTGGGGAAAGAATTATCTATATTATAGATTATGTTGAATGAAATAGTGTAATAGTTTTATTATATTCAAATGCTAATAGTAACAGGAACTAATCAGGTGTTGCCTGGTAAAAGTGCTACTTTAATGAAAATAAAAGTAATTTGAATAATTATCAAAGGACCAACTTAAACACTTTTGGCGTCTGCTTATTTGGCAGATCTTTATATGTAAATGAATACTTTAAAAGTTTTCCCTCTCTGATAAGTTAACATTCCTTTTGCAGTATTATTTTTATGTCTTTTGTGTAGTAGGCTTTCATTTCTTGAGTGATTTATTTGCTTATTAAATAAGCAAATTCCTCTTTTTTAGAAATTGCTCAAAGGTAAACCATAACTCAACACCTGTTAATACTAACACAAATACCAACTTAGTAATAAGTAGGTTAGATTGCTGTTCTCTCATTAGTAACTTGTATCTTTCTTAACTTAAATTTTGTTACTACGTTGACTTACTATTTTTCAAAGTCTGATTCTTTGGTAATCATTCAAATTAAAACCAGATTTTAATTAATTCAACAGGGTTAACTTCAAGGCAGATCAAATTAAATTCAAATGGCTTATTCTACACTGTACCACTCCTGAACTTTGGACAGGTAACAATTCTAAGGGAAGAAAAAAGAAAGACTTTATATTTTCTATTTAGGGTATGTAAATAAATGAGTAAATTTCTCTTTTTTAAATTGTACTTAGATATACCAAGCTTTCACAATCGATATAAAGAGCAAATGCGCATCAACCAAAGGTAATTTTATTTCCCCTAAAATAAGGTATACAAGAAGAATCATTTTTTAAGCTTACTTGTTTTTATTTTTTTCCTTAAAATACAAGTTTCATATATTTCCTTAAATAAAATTGAAAAATATGTAGGAGATATTTAAACTCTTGTTGGACTGATTTACAATCACATTAGATAGCAATACTTAGTTTAAGAGTTTGGAGAATGCTATGATTTATTAGACTTTTATAATAGCTAATTTTAGCTGTTTGGCAGTTTTCCAGTCTCTTAGTACTATTGAATTAAATCAGCAAGCATTTATTATATTCAAATGTGTTAATTTATAAAATCATCACAATTAGTGATATTTTTATAATCTTTCGTTAGAACTGGTAGTATCTTTGATGCTAAAAAAAAATAATTATGATAATGATTAGAGAACGAGTCTTTTGGCCAAGTAGGAATTGTCAAAATCTTTCATACATTTTATGTAGATGTAATTTTGAACTATAGTAGATTATCTTAATCTTGATAACATGATGACAATTCATGATATTTTTTTTTTACTTTTGTTACAGTAGAAAAAAATAATGTTTTTAGACTCCATATACCGTGGGCCCATGAAGATTTAATGATTACTTCAAAGTAAGTCTCTGAATAAATTTATCTTGGAATTGGTGTTTTTCAGGTAGCTTATATGCTGTCTTGGTTTACTCACTAAAAATTATATGGACAAACCACATGGGTGTATCTTGCTAAGTAGTATATTTCACTTTCTTTGGTATTTTGTTTCATATTTAATATTGTCAGATATGTTATGGTTAACCTGATTTGGAGAACCATCCACCACTAAGGAGAGGAAATTTTTGTTTATGTATTCCTAGCATCTAGCACAGAGCTTCACAATATAGTAGTTGCTTAAGAATTATTTATTGAGTGAATAGATGAATGAGAAATAGTATGGTATAATAGAAGGGTATGGAAAAATGGAAGAGTGCTGACCTGGAGTAAAGGATGATCTTTTTTGTTGTTTTTGTGAAAAGGGCTTTTCTAAGCCTTAGCTTTAGTTTCCTCATTTGCAAAAAAAAAGGGATAACATCGATAATTCCTATCTCATAAGATTGTAGTGAGGATAAAATAAAGTAGCATATTAGAATTCTTGGTAATCTTTGACATGATATAGAAATACCAACTATTACGTGATATAGAAATACTACTATTATTATTAATGTGAATTGTTTCCAAACAATCCAGTGAAAATATCCACCATTCATAAGTCTTCTATTCAGATGTCATCATCAGTTCCACCCTAGCTGTATGCCTTTTGCTTCTTTTGTTGGGAATATCCATTGTCCTTACTATTTATTTCATACTGAAGAATGACTGATTCACTTCTCATTTCAGAGCCCCAACTTCAACAGAAGTTTCTTTAAAACTTCATGTTGCACAACCAGAAAATGATAGCCATGCAGCTGTGTTTCATATGTTTACATCATCAGAGTGTCGGTATGAGGTAAATAACATAAATTCCTAATTCTTATTACACATAAGGGAAATTTATTTTTAATATTTGATATATCTTTATAATTTCTTCAGGTAATTGTCTAAAGCAATGGTGTCAAACTCAAATAGAAACAGATCCTCCTGCAAGCTGCATATTGACATATAAAACCACACTTAACATGTTGTATTTTCATTTATTTTATTTTCCATTTCTCAGTTTCATTTTAATCAGATTCTGGTACATTTGGGAGGCTTGACACCTTCTATTTGACATCTCTGCTCACAATATTATTATAGTCATTATAAATACATATATATGCATTATTATAGTCATTATAGATAAAAGCTCATGTGAAACAGTCCCTTAGGTGTATTTTTGGCATCTTAATTTTATTTGTTAATATCATCTTCGTTCTTCCTGGATTAAATAAACAAAAATAAAGTAATAGTCATGAAGTGAAATATAAGAATTTATAGTGATGCCATGTGTAGATATAAAAAAATTTTTTTAGTTGTTCTCAACTCTGCTTTTTAAACTAAATATTTGGTTTCTTTGTGGGAACAACCCCCTTAGGATAAATTAGAATCGGTGGTAAATGCCGAGGAATACAATTCATTTCTTCCTTGCTGAATGGTAGGTTCTTTGAGAGAAGGGACTTATTCCTTGGTCAAAATAAGGGCAACGTCAGTGGTTCAGTTTAGAAGTCTTAGAGCTGACCAAAAGTAAGAGGCATCAATGGTTTTATTAACCCACAGTGTATTATAGTCTTGTAAAGGATCTTGAATTCTTTTTTTTTTATTTTTAGGCAATTGGGGTTAAGTGACTTGCCCAGGGTCACACAGCTAGTAAGTGTCAGGTGTTTGGTCTGAGGCCGAATTTGAACTCAGGTCCTCCTAACTTCAGGGCCGGTGCTCTATCCACTGTGCCCCAAGAATCTTGAATTCTTACGATACTTCTGAAATGAAATATTTTTGTAATGTCACATTTTAAATGTATTCTTTCATAATAACACTTCATGTTATGAAATACTAACTTAAATGTGAGTTGATAAATATATGTAAAAAAAGAAAAATGCACGAGTTTGTTATTTAAATAATTGTACTAGGTACAATAACTAAGACTGCTCTATGCTTTTAAAAGCTTGCCTATATTTATTTTTTAAAAACCTGAAAAAAATTTTAGGACAGCTGTTACCCTAAGTTACTTTTACTCTTCTAAAAAACTTTCTTTTCTCATTCTTAGTAATATAACAAATTCATTTTCTATGGAAATACAGAGAGAATTAATGATGAATTTATTCACTCATATTTTAATCTTTAATTTAGTCAGCCTAGTACTATTTCTTTTTTACTTTGAATCTTGGTGGAACACTCTTTATAAAAAAGTTTACCCACAATTAGCGAATTGTGTGCAATATTTATTGTTGACTTTGGATATTGAACTAACTTGATTAGATCACAAGTGACTATTTTCCTCTACAAAGATTTATATACTTTCTAGATTTAGTCATTCAGTGAGCCATGTGTCATGGTCATGGCTATGGAATAATGTATTATTCGGGTTAACTTAACATAATTGTTAATAGAGGCTAATTACCGGGTTGGCTACAGGGCACTTAATTTTTTGATCACAGCAACTTTTAAAGACTATCTACTAGGTAATAGAAGAATTATAAACTGCATTACTGGAGGAAGTAACCACACCAGAGAAATTGTAAATCAATGAAGTATCGAAGTACTATGTGTATCAGATTTTGAATTCCCATTTTCAAAGAATCCAAGTGGAAAAAAAGTGTGAATACATGAAGATCCAGAGTTGTCATGGTATGCATGTATCTCTATAAGTTATAGCAGAGAGTTATCATAAGGTAAAAGAGGTTAAATTTTCTGTCCATGATCACACAGCTAGTGTCATTGGAAGGATTTGGATTGAGGTCTTCCTGAGTTCAGCACTCTAACCATTGTGTCACACTACTCTTTGCCCCAGAAGTAACCCACATGTAAACATACAACTTGCACATATAAGCTCTATTTAAATTCTAATCCTTTAGACTGACAGTCCTTCAAGATCTTGGAGTACTTGTAGGGTTTTCTTTAGCTGTAACCATCATACTCATGGGTCATGAGGATTCTATAGTTGTTTGAGGTATAAGTTTAATAGCTCTGGTTGACACAATAAGTAAGAGAGTTTATCATAATAATTTCTTCACTTTATAAAAATAATCCTGATATGTTATTGAAATGTGTTTTTTTTTAATTAGATAACAATTAGGACTTCGTTTTTACAAATTCTTGGACAGGTAAGAAATGTTTCTAGTTAATTACATTTTTTTCTTGTGAGTTATATTGATACAAGATGATTTATACTTTTGATATGAATAAGAAGTGATACTTAATCCCTAAGTGAATTAATAAATTCTTTTGCTTTATCATGTATGTAATATTAAGTATTATAAAGATGTTTTATGTTTATTTGTCATAAAATTTAAAAATATTTCAAAGTAACTTTTTATATGTTATATATTTTGGTGAACAAAAGAGATGAAGAATTTTATTATTTGTAAATGTATTGAATCGTCTTGAATTTACTTGTGCTACCCTTATAAAATTCCTAGACCAGGGGTAGGGAACCTGTGGCCTTGAGGCTGTATGTGGCCCTGAGGCTATATGTGGCCCTCTAGGTCCTGAAGTGTGGCCCTTTGACTAAATCTAGACTTCATAGAGCAAATCCCCTTAATAAAAGGATTTGTTCTGTAAAACTTCAACTCAGTCAAAAGGCCACATCCAGGGATCTAGAAGGCCACAGGCTCCCCACCCTATCCTAGACTAATAGCTTTTGTTACAGTGATAGGTTAACAAAACAGCAACATTATAAACTTAACAATACAAATAAATTTAGCATTAATACAGTAAGAAAACATAGGTGATAATGATGCCTAATAAAACATTTTTATTTCCCTCAAGCTTGTTACTTGAAGTTTATTTTCCATTGTTTTATTCCTTTTTCACTTGTGCTTTGAAATATAGATATAGTAAAATCTTTTAAAATTTTATATATCGTGTCTATTATCCAGAATGAAAAACTACACAAAAAACACACGTAAATCTGCCCAAGTATATATATTAAGGAGCTAAGACTATCTTTTAGCTTTTCTGCTTGGTTTAAAAGTTAAAATTAAGTATTTCCATTCCATTTGCTGTGCATGGTATCCAGAAGAGCACTTTGTGAAATAACTGGTCTCGTTTCTTTTCCTAGAATAGTTCAGGGTAACAGATTGGGCTATATCATAGACTGTGTATTCAGAATGATACTAAAAGTCATTATAATGTAGCAGAAATGCCACAGTAAAGAATATGAGAGCAAATATTAGAAAATTGAGAATTAAAGCGTGCATCTTTATGTGTGCATATATGTAGAGAGCCTTTTAATTCATGCTCCTAAGTTTGAAAAATAGTGACATGGATAGTGATAAAAAAGGTTGTGAGTGTCAGTGAAACAAAATTTTTTTAAATTTCTATAAGAATATCTGAAATTCATTGATGCAATTAACATTGTTTGTATCTTTAAAATGAATAGTGCCATGCTTTGTCAGGATAGAGATTTGAAGCATTCCATAATTACCATTAGTTTTTGAAAAAACAGTATTAAACTGTTTAATCAAGTCTAAACATAGGTCACATGAAGAACAATGCAGGTATATTTTGAACTTGTTCGGTCAGGGAAAATTTCCTGGAAAAGTTGGGTTTCTGGGCTTAATGAACCATGAAGTCACTCAGTGTACTTGAGACAGCATGGGTAAAATGAAACTGGACCAGATAGAAGCAAGTAATATAGAATGACTAAAGTAGAAGAGAATGTAAACTTGAGAAAACGTGAGGGAAGCCAAGTAGAACAGGCTGATTGATGAGATTTTAGTTGATTGACTCGGCTATGAAGGGCTCTAGGGAGATGGTGGAAAATTTGTGGGATCTGTGGCAGTCTTCTATGTATAGGAAAACATGTCTCCTATAGTGGCAGAATGTTTTACTGAAGAAAAGACTGCTGTTTAGGAAGGCAGATTATAACCACTGTCTGAATGAACTAGAGATTGTGTTGTATGAGGGTACAGAAATCAGAAAGAGTATGTGAGAGATTATATAGATTAAATTTGTAGAATTTATCAGCTGTTGAATATTATAGCTATGATGAAATCACTTTGACTATTTAAACATTTTCTTTTTAAGCTCCCAAAATGAAACTGTTTGTGGTGGGGGTGAGGAACCTGTGGCCTGGAGACCACATGTGGTCCTCTGGGTCCTCAAGTGCAGTCCTTTGACTGAATCCAAACTTCACAGAACAAATCTTAATAAAAGGATTTGTTCTGTAAAACCCCATGAAGTAGGTGCAGTTATTATCCTCATTTTATGGATGAGGAAACTGAGGCTTAGAGAAGCTGTGACTTGCCCAAAATCACATAGCTAGTAAATTTATTTCTTTTTTTTCAATTCTTATAATGACTCTTTAATAGTATTTTATTTTTCCTCAGTTACATATCAAGACAGTTTTTAGCATTCATTTTTACAAGACTTTGAGTTCCAAATTTTTCTCTCTCCCTCCCCTCTTTTGAAGATGGTAGGCAATTTGAAATAAGTTATACATGTGCTATCATATAAAACATGTTCCTATATTAGTCACAGTTATGAAAGAAGAAACAGATTAAAAGGGAAAAAAACAAAAAAGAATAAAGTGAAGAAAGTATGCTTCGATCTGCATTCAGAGTCCATCATTTGTTTATCTGGATATGGATAGCATTTTCCTTCTTGAGTCCATTGTATTTGTCTAGGATCATTGTGTTGCTGAGAAGAGCTGAGTCATTCATAGCTGATCATCACACAATGTTGCTGATACTGTGTAGTGTTTTCCTGGTTCTACTCATTTCACTTGTACCAGTTTGTATAAGTCTTTCTAGATTTTTCTGAAATCTACCTGTTCTTCATTTCTTATTGCACAGTAGTATTCTACTACATTCATATACTACAGCCTGTTCAGTTATTCCCCAGTTGATGGACATCCACTCAGTTTCCAATATTTTGCCACCACAAAAAAGGTTGTTATAAATATTTTTGCATATAGAGATCGTTTTCCCTTTTCTTATTATCTCTTTGGGATACAGACCCACTAGTGGTATTGCTGGATCAAAGGCTTCTACTCTGGTTGCCCTTGGGGCACAGTTCCAAATTGTTTTCCAGAAGAGTTGGATCTGTTCACAATTCCACCAACAGTGCATTAGTGTCCCAATTTTCCCACATCCTCTCCAACACTTGTATCATTTTTCTTTTTTGTTGTATTAGCCAATCTGATAGGTACCTCAGAGTTGTTTTAATTTGCAGTTTTCTAATCAAAAGTGATTTAGAGCATTTCTTCATATGCCTATAGATAGCTTTGATTTCTTCATCTGAAAACTGCCTGTTCATTTCCTTTGATGATTTATCAGTTGGGGAATAGCTTACATTCTTATAAATTTGGCTCAATTTTCTATATATTTGAGAAATGAGGACTTTATCAGGGATACTTGCTGTAAAGATTGTTTCCCAACTTTCTGCTTTCCTTCTAATCTTGGTTGCATTGGTTTTGTTTGTGCAAAAGCTTTTTAATTTAATATAATCAAAATTAACTGTTTGACATTTCATAATGCTCTCTATCTCTTGTTTGGTCATGAACTTGTAAGTCACCTAACTTCTCCTTTAAGAATTTGGATGCTATACCACTTTGTGCATATATGTTTAGTATTGATATTACTTCACTGTCTGTGGTACCTTTTAGCAGCATGTAGTTTCCTTCCTTATCTCTTTTAATTAGGTCTATTTTTGCTTTTGCTTTGTATGAGATCAGGATTGCTTTCCCTGCTTTTTTTATTTCAGCTGGGGCATAATATATTCTGCTCCAGCCTTTTGTCTTTATTCTCTGTGTATCTGTCTGCTTCAGATGTGTTTCTTATAAACAACATATTTTTGGATTATGGTTTTTGGTGCATTCTGCTATGCACTTCCATTTTATGAGAGAGTTTATACCATTCACATTCACAGTGATGATTACTGTGTATTTCCCTCTATCCTATTTTCCTCTGTTTATCATCTCTCTCCTTTCACTCTTTTCCTCCTTGACAGTGTTTTGCTTCTGTCTGCCACTTTTCCTGGTCTGTCCTCTCTTCTGTCAGTTTCCCCTGCTGTTTACTTAATCTCCTTCCTTCCTACTTTTCTATCAGGTAAAATAGATTTCTATATTCAACTGATCATGTGTATTATTCTCTCTTTGAGCCAGTATTGATGAGAGTAAGGTTCAAGGGATGCCCATTGCCCATCTTCCCATTTTTCTCTCCATTGTAATAGGTTTTTTGCACCTCTTCATGTGAAATAATTTACCCTATTCTACCTCTCCCTTCTGCACCCAATGTATTCCTCTTTCTCATCCCTTAATTATTTTTATGTCATTCCCTCAAATTCACCTTATATCCATACCCATTATCTATTTATATTCCTTCCAGCTATGCTATTAGTGGTATAATTTTTAAAAATTACAAGTATGATCTTCCCATCTAGGAATATTGAATCTCTTATGTTTTCTTTTACCTTTTTACTTTTTTAGGCTTCTCTTGGATCTTGATATTGGAGATCAGTTTTTTTGTTCAGTTCTGGTCTTCTCCTTATGAAAGCTTGAAATCCTACTATGTCATTGAATGACCATTTTTTTCCTTGAAGTATTATGCTTAATTTTGCCAGGCAGTTGATTCTTGGTTACAGTCCTAGCTCCTTTGCCTTCCGGAATATCATGTTCCATTACTTCTGATCCTTTAATGTTGCAGCTGCTAAATCCTGTATAGTCCTGATTGTGGCTTCCCAATATTTGAATTATTTCTTTTTGGCCACTTGCAATACTTTTTCCTTGATCTGATGGTTCTGTAATTTGGCTATAATGTTCCTTGGAGTTTTTATTTTGAACACCTTTCCTGAGGTGTTCAGTGGATTCTTTCAATGCTTATTTTGCCCTCTGGTTCCAGAATATAAGGGCAGTTTTCCTTGATAATTTCTTGAAAGATGTCATCCAGATCCTCCTTTTGATTATGGCTTTCAGGTAGTCCAGTGATTCTGACATTGTCTCTCCAGATCTGTTCTCCAGGTCAGTTGTTTTTTCCATGAGATATTTTACGTTTTCTTCTATTTTTTCATTTTTTAAAATTTGTTTGATTGGTTCTTGATGTCTCATAGAGTCACTAGCTTCCTCTTGCCCAATTCTAACTTTTAAGGAGCTGTTTTCAACTGA